TCGTCGTCGTGGTCGTCTTCGTCGTCATCGCCGTCGCCGTGAGTCGCCGTCGTCGTCGTCGTCGTCGTCGTCGTCGTCGTGAGTCGTCGTCGCCGTCGTCGTCGCCGTCGCCGTCGTCGTCGTCGTGGTGAGTCGTCGTCGTCGTCGTGAGTCGTTGTCGTGGTGCGTCGTCGTCGTCGTGAGTCGTCGTCGCCGACCCGTGGTGAGTCGTCGTCGTCGTCGTCGTCGTCGCCGTGGTGAGTCATCATCGTCGTCGTGAGTCGTCACCGTCGCCGCTGCCGATTGTCGTCGACGGCGTCGTCGGCGTCGCCCGCCACGCCGAGGCCACGCCCAGCGGCAGGCCGCTGGTGGTGCAGGCCCTGGCCGCCGTGGCCGAGGGCCACGCCGCAGCCGTGCGGAAGGCCGCCGCGCCGCCGCCGCCGCCGTCGTCGTCGTCGCCGTCGTGAGTCGTCGTCGTCGTCGTTCTCGTCGTCGTCGTCGTTGTCGTCGTCGTGAGTCGTCGTCGTCGTGAGTCGTCGCCGTCGCCGCCAGAGGGGGTGCGCGCGCCTGCCGGCCACGGCCTCAGCGGAGCCAGAGGTCATGATAGCGACACGTTCCAAGGCTATCAGGGTTTGCACGATTCCCTAGTATCGGCGGCGAGCGAGGGGGGGAAGTGAGAAGGAGAAGGCCTTCTCAGAAAGCGGCGGGACTTCCCAGATTCCATCACACCCTCTGGGGAAGGCTCAGAAAACTTCTCAGAAGGCCATGGGATTTCCGAGCCTTCTGCGAAGGCCTTCTCCTTCTCTTTTCTTCCCCTGGGTTTGCCGCCAAGCATTGGTGCCAGCCCGCACCGCAGCGGAGCAAGGGGTCATGATAATGATGCGTTCCAAGATTATCAGGGCTTCTATGATTTCCCAGTACTCCACACGGGCTGCGGAAACAAGGGCCGCCAGAGACTCTGGAAGTCCTGGAACGTAGCTTGAGCCAGCTTGATCATGGCATCATTCTCTTCCTAACATTAAGTCGGCTCTAAAACCCCCTGGCCTGCGAGGTTTTCCAATCCTTCCCCGAAGACACAGACAACTTCTCAGGAGGCCTGAGGGATTCTGAGAAGCCCCGCCGCCTTCTGAGAAGGGATTCTCCTTCTCATTTTCCCCCCTCGCCCGCCGCTGACCACTTGTATTGGCGCCAGCCCGCATCTTTCCTGGACGTGTTAGCTGGCGGTCACGTGGCGGGGTCAGCGCTGACGAGGGTCAGTCAGCCTCCTATGGCTGACCCGGGTCTGGGAGCCACGTGAGCCGATGCCCCCTTCCCGCCCGCCGCTGACCCGCGTTTGGGAGCTATTTTGCGGCTGGCCGGGCTTCGCGACAAGGCCCTGGCCTATCATCCGGGTTTGCATTGACTCGGGTTTGTTTGCAACTGTTTATGTAGGGATACATCGGCCCCCCTGAGCGCGTGATTCTTGCCAAGATTACCTCAGTGCGGCCAGCAGGTTCCGAACGCATGAAGTGTATTCTCGCGTTCCACGGGGGCCACAGCATCTACAACGCTCGAGCGTGCTTCTCGTCCATGCCCGAGAGGTGTTGGGCTCTAGCGAGAAGGCCAAGCTGAAGGAGTTCAAGGCCAGCGGCGAGAAGGAGCCCCGATCTGCCTGCAGTTTCTCTCTTCGACTTGATCGAGATGGTGTTGCAGGCTCACGTCCTTCGTGAGATTGCGGTCGACTGGATCTTGGGGTGGCTCCCTCCCTCTCTCGTTTCGGATCGGTGGTTCCTCTCATGTCCTGGGACGTTCCCGCCCCCCTTCCCAGAGGGGCCGGGTGAGGAGAAAGCGCGCCGCTCTTTCCCGCCAGGAGCTCCTCGACAGCGTCCAGGCGCTGGTCGAAAAGCTCGGCGGCGACTTCGCCCTGTGACGCGGCCCGCGCGGCACCGTTGTCTGGTCGGCCGCGCGTGGTGCTCGGGCCGCATCGAGGCGGGGTGCTCCGAGGCGGGGACTCGTCCATAGCCAACGCCCGGGGCGTCGACCTTCCGGGACATCGGCCAGCAGTGGCTATGGATGCGTCTGGGCCTTGGGGGGGGTCGGACGAAAGTGGGGGGGACGAATTTGCTGCATGCAACTGGTTTCGGCCTCGCCGCCGAGTTATCTTCGACACGTTGGCGCCGGGAGACGTTGGGAGGCGCCGGAGAAACCAACTGATCACGTCGGCTGTCTCGTTGTCCTTTCCACTTTCGATCCGCCCCCTGCGTCCGACCCCGATATACGAGGCGAGGAGCTCCCCCTGACCCGATGTTGTTTGCAGTGTTTCTCGATGTTCTTCCCCGTCAGCCCGCACATGTATGTATTTGGTGCGCGCGCGTTGTGGAGGGCCCCACGGTTGCGACATTGTGAGCAGACGGCCACGGTCCGAGTCGTTTGGGCTTGTTCGTTATGCCCACGCGCTTGGCCCTGACACAAGTTAGACAGTCGGGTTTGGTCACGCTGACTTTTTATCTGATTGCTACTACCCAGGTTCATTGGCGCTTTTGGGCGTGTCTGGGAGGATGCTGGGACTTCTTGGACGACTCGTCAGTTTCCAGGGAGTGGTTTGTCGGTGCAACTTCGTACCGTAATTTGGTATAGGTCTTGCCGAATCCAATATTTGACGTCAATCATGATAATGTAGTTATGATGCAATGCAGTCTCTGCACGAGAAACCAAGGATAATGCGATTCCCAGAACCGATTACGATATAATTGTTATGGATGTGTTCTGGTGGTTGGGGTAAAGGGTTGAGGGGGAAGTTCGGTGCGGATGGAGGGGGAGGAGGAGGATAAGGTGAGGAGGGGGTAGGAGAGAGAGAGAGAGAGATAAAGAGAGAGAGAGAGAGAACGATATTGAGGGAAGTTGAGGGATATGCAGGAAGAGGAGGGGGGTGAGGAACCTCAATAAGGACATTTCAACGGGCAGGTGGGAAAGGGAAGAGCAATTTGATATCGTCATCCGTGGAGAACGACGCCAACGCCTGAGGAAGGCATCGCACTTGGCTTTCCAATCGTAGCAATTGCGTAGGTCCACTCTTGAGGCAACCGCACCATGCCTCAGATATGGGAAGAGGGGAGTGCGCAGGGATGAAAGTGACGACGACGACGAGGAACGATTGTGTGGAGGGGGATGACGGCGAGGAGGGATGATAACGGAGGACGAAAAGTTCGAATCCACGTTGCGCGGCGCATGGAAAGGAATCCGACTTGGGGTGCCAACGATAATGAATCCCGATGGCGGTTCCATGAGAGTGACTCCCGATTGACAGCCGCCTGAGAAGGAATCCCAAGTTGGGGCTGCCACGAGAATTACTCTTATGTGGCGGCGGGGCCATGGGACGGAGTATCCCAATTGGAGAGCCTATAAGAAGGATTCCCAATTTTGGGGGGCCATGAGAGGAATTCCCAATTTGGCCACGCCACTAACAAAAACAGGGGCGTCTCCTCCGACATGGATGCGTAAGCTGCCCGCGTAAGGAGCGCCCTTGCTTCCAAAGCGGCGTGCCGCGCTGGCGGCCCGCGTAAGCCGCTGCGTGTCATCTCGCGTGAGACTCCTTTCTGATCGTCGCTTCATTGGGTGGGGTGGGGTGGGGGGGGCATGACACCGAATCCCGATGTAGGCGCACATGGGAAGGCGTTTCATTCAAGAAAAGAATCAAAAGGTCGCCCGTCAGGCAGTTGCCAGGGAACCGCTGGAGGGAGCCCCCTTGTCACGATTTCAGCCGTCGGGTTTCTTTCAGACAGCTTCCCTGGGCCATTTGGAGGCACTGCGGGCGGTTGTCCAATCAGTGCCGCGTGAGCATTCTCCAGGCCTCTGACACTTCGCTTGCACATGGTGCGGGAGAGCGGTATCAATGTATAAGAGACTGTGCCTTGCGTGTGCAGTTGGTCGCGGTGTTAACTCACCGGCGCCATTGCTCGGAGACCATGGGTGAGACACAGTGCAGACGGCGGCGCAAAATCAGCTGATCATGTTTGGTAGATCTTCCTCACCTGTACAGTTGGATTCGGGGTTCGCAGCTCACGAGTTGGGAGGAAATGTATGTGGACGCGGCGAATTGGGTTAAATTCGCGCCACGACATCACAGAACCTCTGCCATCGTGCCACATCACATGAAAACCCATGCAATTGAGCAGTGCGCAAGCGAAGGTTCAAGAGAGGGCATTCGCATGAGCACCACAGAATGATGACCTCGTGATCGAGATTGGAGAGAAGATGGAATGATACGCATGAAGCGAGGGGCTATTGGCATGTGAGGAGGGAGGGAAGTCAGAAGTGTAGCGGGAGAGGAATGGAATGATCGAAGAACCGTTGTGGGATTTGTCATGTGGCGTACCCGTGCTTCCTAGCAGTCGTGTAGTGGCATGTAGTTCCCTCTCCCTCTAGTCGGCTCACGACAGATGTTATCTGGTTTCGCTTCCTTGCAGCGTGTCGTCGTCAACGTTTCTGGTGGTCGCTCGTCCTGACGATGTGGGTTCGCGAACATCGACGGACAACTTTCCAGGAAGGCTCGCGCGTGTCAGCCACTCGGCATCACGGGGCCTTGCCCGAAGCGGCCTCGATCGGCAAGGCGTTGCGCTGCGCCCGCCTGTCCTGCCCTCTCGGGGCCCAACTGTACGAGGGGTGGGGTCACAGAGAGACTCAGGAGGAACAGAAACACACAGACACAATTAATCCTCGATTCCCCAGAAACTATAGGAAAATATGGGAAGTGAGGGGGAAGACAGAAACCCAGAAAATATGAGAAAATTTGGGGAATATTTTTACGTGTGTGTATTTATTTGTGTGTCCTGGGGCCCCTTCAGAGACAACCGTCTCAGAATGTAATTCCTGGGAGGTTGTCCGTGGTCACAGGCCAACCTCATCCAGTATAATCCCACCTTGTCCCGCTGCATCCGATTCCATCTGGCTGAATCCCGAACGCCGTGCATGCTAATCCGGCTGAGTGGCATCTTCATCGGGCTGAAACCCCAGACCCCCGACGTCTTGATTTTTCACAACGTCGAGCCCCAGGGGTCTGGACCCCTTCCCTGGGACCGTATTCTCATCTCTAGTCGTTTTCGTTGACAGTCCAGGGGCCCCGCCAGGGCCCCTGGAGGCCAAAAATGGCGACAAAAAACTCCCGTCGTGATTTTTGTCACAACGCGAGGGGGTCTTGGTCATTGGCCCTGGATCTTTCTTCCGAGAACCTCCCGGAAGGTGCCTCCGAACCCATGCCGCCACTCCACGGGCATCTCCCTGGGCTCGCTCGGGCCAGGCCTTCGGAGCGAAGCCGGCCGCGGCGGCGACGGCAGCGGCGGCGGCACCTCTCCCTCCCCTTGTAAGGGCAGGGTGGGGCCATGGCGGTTAACGGGGGTGGGCGACGGCGGGTAGAGAGACATTTACCATAAAAGGGAAGAGGAGGAGGAGGAGGAGGAGGAGGAGAAACAGGAAGAGGAGGAGGACCTCCCCATCCTCCCTTCCCCCCCCCGTCCTACCTAGGGATGTGGTAGTGGACCATTGGGCCATCATAGAGGGCAGGGTGGGGATGGGGGGAGAGAGGGTCCCCTGTGTCCTCCTCCGCGGCTGGTGCTCCTCTTCGACCTCGCTGCGAGGGTCCTGGGCGGAAGCCAGGCGGAGGCTGGCTGCCCGATCCCCCGAGTCCTGGACCGTGGTGCAGGCGCACCTGCCTCTCTCTTTTTTTGTACTCTGTCTCTCTCTCTCTCTCTCGCTCTCTCTCTCTCTCAATATATACATATATATATATACACACACGGGTCTCTTGCTGTGTTCGGGCGTGGTTAGGACGAGGAGACACCCGTTTCAGATCGCTCCAGAAGGCTCTCGGGGCCTTCAGCACGCTCTGGGGAGGCCGCGGCGCCCGAGACATCCCCCGACGCCGCCAGATCTCGGAGCTTCTCGACCTCTCCTCGCCCGACGTGGTCCTCGTCCTGGCCTCGTCTGAAGCGTCGGAGGAGGGCCCATGTCAGGAGGGAAAAAAGCACAGAGACAATTAATCGTCGATTCCCAAGAAAATATGGGAACATATGGGAAGTGGGGGGGAAGGCAAACACCCAGAACATATGGGAACATATGGGGAATCCTTTTATTTGTGTGTATTGATTTGTGTGTCTCAGGGCCCCTTCACCATGCGAGACACCACCCCCATCGGGCCTCGCGGAGGCTGCCCGTCTGCACGGCGGCGTCCGCCTCGAGGGAGGGCGAGGGGGGAGGGGTCGGCCAGGCCGATCTCGAGCGGAATTCGGGCCGTGGCGGGCGGGCCGCCGCTGTCTCGGTTGGCCCTCCTGCCGACTCTTGGCGCTCTGCGAGGTCGCTGAGGCCCGTAATTGCCCACAGCCGTCAGACCCAGGATGGGGAGGAGGAGGAGCACGAGGACGAGGAGGAGGAGGAGGACGAGGAGGAGGAGGAGGAGGAGGAGGGCGAGGACGAGGAGGAGGAGGAGGAGGAGGAGTTGACAGAGCAGCAGGTGGTGCGCGAGTGCAGCGTATGGGGACCACGGCTCGACCTGAACGGTGTTCTGTCGATGTCGTTGACCGCTTTCATGTCCGATTTACATTTGCAGCGGAGGCGGAGCGAAGACACATTGAGGGAAGACGAAACTAATGTGACTTGGCATCGCTCGGACGTGTGCATTTTTCCTTCGGCGAGGACTTTCGAGGAGCATCCTTGATCATTTGGCGAAAACAACAACGCACGAAATCGAAAGAGAACACAGGGAATGGACGTCCGAGCGATGGCCAGGTGAAGACGGAGAGCACCGTTAGGCCGAGCCATGATCTGGACTCTTTCGCCCCACCACAATATCGGGCCACATGATTTCAGGCTCGGCCATTTCGGGATGGTTTCAGAGACTCGCAAAGGTTCGCCGTGCCCTCTGATCGTTTACATGCTGCCGATTGGTCGTAGGCTTTGGTTGCATAATTCGGCGAAGACCCAATAGGCTCATCTTCTCAGTGTGCCGCATCCATCGTGGACAGGCATGGGCATCAATTTGGTGGCGTTGCGATTGGCAGCGGAGGCAGCGCCAGTGTCGACGAGGAGAAGGCAAGATATCCAGCTGCCTACGGGAAATCCCGCCACCGTGAGAGCCCAGCATTCTTGGTGGCGATTGCTCGACGGGGCACAGGAGGTCGTCACGTGTGTCACCTCGTGTCTCCATGCTTGGGATAGCCGCGATAAATATGATGATGGTTATGATGATGATAATGCTGCTGCTGCTGATGCTGATGCTGATGCTGATACTGATACTGATACTGGTACTGGTACTGGTACTGTTGATGATACTACTGATAATGATGATGATGATACTGATGATGATTATTATGCGTCTGCTGCTGATGATGGTTATGCTGATGGTGGCGGTGATGATGGTGAGTCTGATGATGGTGATGATGGTGGGGATGGTGGAACTGACGATGATGCTGCTGTTGCTGCTGCTGCTGATGACGAAGCTAGTCATGATCATCATGATGATGCTGCTGATGATGATGATGATGATGGTGT